GTTTCTTTTCCCTCTCCCGATCTGGCTAATCTACATGCCTCCGTCGAAGGAGGCATGTAGTCTAGACACACCCTAGATGAAAACTTGATCAAAACAGCATATTTTGGCAAATTTTCATTGTCAAAAAAGTTCTGACCATCTTTTCTTTCAGGCATTGATGTTTGTGAAAGTATGTTCATCTATTTAGCATTCTTTGGCTTGAAGTGGAGTGTAGAAAGATGATGGCTGCAGAAAACTAGAAAAACTTCAGTTATAACCCTCCAGTGAATTATTATTATTATTATTATTAATAAAGGAACACCATGGTAAAGTGTTGAGGTGTGTCTCTATGGGCCATAAATTTTTGCATATTGCATGCTAAAGCGCATCATCATTTGAAAGCTTGGATGACTTGGTTATGGAACAAAGTATAAGCATGAAGTTCAATAATTGTAAAACTGGCATAATGCAGTGATAAATCAGACCAAGTGTCTTAATAAAGTTAGGAAAAATTCAGTTTTCGCTATGAATAATTTTGCAAAGAATTGTCACACTCATTTCATGGGAGTTTGTAGCATCCTGAAGTTCACTTTGGCTGCGTCTACACTGGCATGATTTTGCGCAAATACCTTTAACGGAAGAGTTTTTCCGTTAAAAGTATTTGCCCAAGACATCTATACTGGCATGTGCCTTTGCGCAAAAGATTTGCTTTTGCGCAAAAGCATCCGTGCCAGTGTAGACGCTCTCTTGCGCAAGAAAGCTCCGATGGCCATTTTAGCCATTGGGCTTTCTTGAGCAAGAAATTGATGTTACCTGTCTACACTGAAGAGGGCTTATCCCTGAGCAGGAGTGTCAAAGTATTTGCGCAAGAAGCACTGAATTCTTACATTAGAATGTCAGTGCTCTTGCGCAAATTCTTGTGACCAGTGTAGACAGGCGGCAAGATTTTGCGCAAAATCTTGCCAATGTAGACACAGCCTTTATGTTTCATGTTTGATGAAATACTAATTTTCACATTACATGCAAAACTATATTTTGGGTGTATTTTTAATATAAACACCAGCTCTAAAAATGGGACCATTTTTGCTCATATTTCTTTTTCTAGGAAACAGCCTATTGCCACTTAAAATGGGTCATTTTTAAAGGGAAGCATTCCATGAATAGGTTTATTGTCATATTCATAACAAAAACCCCAACACAAATCATCACCGACCCAGGCCATTAACACAATATAAAGTATAAATTAATCTAATTTTAACTGTCTTTATTGCATTTTGTTTGCCCTTTATAGATAGTATCACCTTGTAATTGACTTAAAAAAATGTTTTTTGTACACTATTACCCCATCCAGAATTCAGCAGAGTATTGTAGAACAGGAAATTAAAAGTAAAATAAAATGTTTAAAATTTACTTCATTAATGCCAACATTCAGCAAAACATTTAAGCACATGCTTAATTTTAAAATTAAGCATGTGATTACATCCCATTGATTTCAAAGGTTTAATTATGTGCTTAAAGCTAAGTGTGTGCTTAAGTGCTTGGCTGAATCAGAGTCTAAAGACTCTTCAACTCATCATTTACAGACTCCTTTTTGCTGTAGTTTCCTTTCTCTAAAATATCATTATTTTCAGTTTTATAACTCAAAGAACATTTCTATAGGTGACCTCTGAATCCAGTTGAGATCCATCATATTTTTGCTACTAGAGAGGGGCTCTATTGGACGGTTTGCAGAGAAAGGGAAACATCTGCACATGTAGTGATTATTAAAAAGACTCCATCTTATCACAAAGTGCCAGCTTCCCAGGGATCCCCTGACCTGCTTACATAATGCTCCACTAAAGGATCTACATTTTAAACAGAATGGATACATTCATATCAAATTTTTGTTAGCAGCTAGACTCAGGATTGCACATTACTATAAATGTGGGACCCTTCTCCTCTGGAATTGTAGCATAGCATAATATGCATTGTCCTGGTAACAGAAAAGTCTCCACAGCAAGTACATATTCCAGAGAAGCATCAAAACCAGCACAAATATTTAGACATTTGGCCATCCTTTCTAGCATAATCCCCAGGGCTCCTGCGCCAATGAGTCAATCTTTAGTCATGTTCTTTGAATATTAACGTGATCCTGAAATTTTGTACCATATAATAGTTCTACACAGCAAACACCAAAGAGAATAGAGAGATTCTGCTACACTTTATTCAGTATCATGTTACAAGAAAACAGTTACAGCTGACAAACCATTACATCTTTCATAATACAGACAAATTACAAATTGTAACAAATGTCACATTCATTTTACTGTACTGAGTACTATGCTGCTGTTCTGAAGTATATATATATTTAATTATATTAACATTGTTCTCATGTACCAAAAACCCCCGTTAAAAAGAATGCCTCTTAGTGCATCATACAAAAAGCCCAACTGAAGTTGGGGAGTAGGGATTTTGTATGTAGCACGGTCAAAATGCATTTTTTGGGTTGGATATTTTTAGTGCATCCTTTTATTTTTGTGTATGTGAAAAAAATGCAAGGCAGTAACATACAGTTACGTCCACCTATATGTTGGAAGAGGAGATTATTGTTATAGGTGGCCAATACAACATGTTTCTATTTATATGGGATGTCAGTATTTTGCTCCCAAGTATGTACAGCCTAAGCATCATTTTATATAAACAAAGGTTACAAAACCAATAATATTCACAGATGAGTATTTTGTATAGAAGCATGACACAGAGCATTGACAACATGTTTAGTCATGTGTGCACTTATCAAGAACACACTGAGGTGTATTTCTCCCGCCAATCAGTGGGGAATTGATTATTATAACTTCTTTATCATTATCAGGAATTCCCTGTGTAAAGCTCTCCCTCACACCAAAGGTAAGACTAGACCCCAATGTCTACACATTGCAGTTAAAGTCTTCATGTGCTGCATGAATAGATTTGCTATCCTAAACAATATTTCCGAAGAAAAAAAAGAACCACAAAAAACAAAAAGCCCCACCTTCCAAAGCTGGGTACTGATGTAAGGGGCCCTACCATGCAGCTGCCTGTTGGGTATAGTTCATGTGGGACAGATGAACTGAACCCAGCAGGACTGAAGATCAAAGCCAGCAGGAAGTGGTAACATGTATTGCTAAGTTCTGCGAACCTGAACTCCAAGAAATCCTTCCTATCCCTCCACCTACTATTAATGGCTTTATGGAGCTAGGCTATACCTTTGCATTTTTATAGGCCCTATTCCACTCCCCTGGGTTATCGCCCCCCTTCCTTCAGGCAAACTCACCACCTTCCCTTGGTATCAGAAAGCATCTTCAAAGGGCCAGCAAGGTGGTAGAAGGGAAAGTATCCCACTGCTGCTGTCAGCCATGATTTTATTGACTAGGGGCAGATAGTGTCCCATAGCTTCCCAAAGGTCTGTGCTGTAGGGATTAATGGCTGTTTCGATCAATATTCAGCAGCTAACCTGGTACATGGGAGTGTGAAGTGCTACCTAATGTAATACAGCGGCTGAAAGGAGGCAGGATTCTTTCCTGGCTTCTGTTCATCTCATCAAGAGCCAATTTGCCTCCTCTAGCTTCCCTGAAAACCCTTATAGACTTGGAATTCATCAGTGGGCATGTGCAGTGGCCCCTGGAGAGTGTTTGGAGGGATACTGGCCAGCCAGCCAGCCCTTCCTAAGGAAGCAATGGAGGAAACACCCAGTTTCAGGATGCTGTAGCGGGACTGTTTTGCTTTCCAAAGACAGATCCAGTGTTTTGTAGGGTGACAAATTGATAAGAAGAGTATGCTCTGGAAGGAGAGTGAGCAGTAGGGAGATTTTTGGCACTTGGACTGATGTTTGAGGTTGCACTATAACTCTGAGCCCTTCCTGCTGTTGAGTGGGTTTGAGGATCTTTGTGGATCTTTACAAAGCCTTTACTAACCTTCCTCAGCTGTCTGAATACAAGTTAACCCCTCCATGTAGATACAAACTCTCACATTTCAGAACTTCCTCAAGAGAATAAGAAATCTGCTAATGAGCACAGGCCACCGTGTTCAAACTTGCATGTTTGAAGTTAGGTGTGTAAGACAGTGACCTGATTTTCAGGAATACTGGGTGTCCAAAATTCCATTGGGATTTCAGGGGTACTTAGCTCCTGAGTTATTTTCCATGTAGGCACCTAAATCTAAATCCACATATTCAATTTCAGTCACTCAACATTTGAACATTTTGGTCATAACCATTAACTATTTCAATGGTTATTTTAAAGTGGGGAAGGAGGGATGGGAGAAGAAAGTGACATACACATGTCTTAAGCAAATGCTAGGCTTGATTTACCATGGATAAGTAAGGTGCTACACTTATGTCCCTTTGAAGGAAACCATTTAGGGTATTATTCTCTATAGCGAACCACCAGATGTTTCATTGAGCACTATAATAGCTCACACTCCCTACTTAAGATGTCAGCATAAAAGATATATGCCTAAGAAACTACCCTTATTTTCCTAATTGAAACCTTTAAGTTTTGAAAATTTCTTCAGTTTTGCATTAATGTAAAACATTTTTTTAAAAATAGCTAATTTTAAACATCAAATTGCATATGATTTAAGTAGCAAAGATAATGTACAAAGATTTTTCTCCTAAAATAAAACAAAATATGTAATTCAAATCTAATGACATAAGGCAATTTTAGATTGTGATAAGTTTGAAAAATCCAGTGGGCCTGCTGCTTATTTCCCCCCCTCCTGTCCTTGTAAGTACGGGAGTGAATTTGAAATAAGTTTTAAAATAGGATTGTGATTTATGTAGCTTTCATGTAATTTTTACAAGTTTCTAAACAGCAGAGATGCCACAGGGGACATATGGTTTTAATGACTATGCAACTATTATATATATTTTCACAGCTTAACTGTGTTTGAAAGTACAGAACAATATTTACTGTAGTTTGTAAGAGGAAACTTCTGTTGGTAGCTTTTGAACAGACCAGGATTTGCCTTGTTGGGTGTTCTTTCCTAGTTCCCAACAGAAACATGGCTAGAGTTTATAGAGAGGCAGAAACCCAACTCTGTTCCCCCTTCCCTCCAAACAAAACACTAAATGCTAAACCAAAGTGTTTTTCTGGCAGCTGATGCATCCAGGAAGCAGAGGAACTTTACACTTCGAATAAAATAGCTTAACAAGCCCTTCTGTTCAAGCACCATTGTAACTCAACAGCAGGATTTCCACCATTCCCAGTCTCTCTGAATTAAAAAATGTTATACCTTATACATTAGGGCGATCATATTCCACAAGCTCTGCTCAAGCTTTGCCTTCCCAATCAAGGAAGGAGAGGTCTCCTTGTTTAAAATGATATAATCGCACCATTTATCAACTGTGCATTTGAGTGATACAGTCAAAAACAACTTAAATATGGTAGATAGTGGCATCCTCTAATCAGATTAAAAGTCTACAGAAATAACTGAAAGTGCTTTGGTGTGGAACAGCAAACATTTTAGATCAGGGTGGCTTTTCATTTTATTTTCTAACAAGGAAAACAAAGGTTGTTTTAGTGGCTCATTCAGCAAATACTATTTCTGCACCCTAGAATATGTCAAAATAAACTCAATTCTGTTTCACACACTTTTGGTTTTTCCTTTTCAGAAAATATTCCAGAAGTTAAAGAGGGTGTGGAAAGAGTAAGTAAAGATGGAGCCAAGACCTATAAAACGTATTTAAAAATCTATATTAGCAAAGGGGATAGAATTCCTCACTGTATCTGTTAGTATAGGATGTCGTGTCATTATTTCTTCATTGCAGGCCTATTTTGAAAAGTGGCATGCTATGCAGCCTACTCAGAATAGCCACATTTTGAGTTTCTAAATAAACATGAAATTATTTTCAGGTTTAAAAAAAATTGATATGAACATTCTGAATAGGTAAAAAAAAAGCACTTCAGGAAAAATGGCAAGGTAATGAACTTGTCAATCAATCTGAAGACTTGGACTTGCTCTAGCTAGACATAGCTTCACTACTGGTTGAAAATTATGCTCAACTCTCAAAGAAACCACACATTTTTATGCCACTGTTGGCTTTTATGTACAGACATTACTGAACAGGTGTGAACACCAAATGTGTTGTCTTAATGTATTTAAGACCTTGCTGGTGAAAGCATAAAAATCTTTACAAAGATGCTGTGCTGCAGTGGAAAATCAAACACAAAAGGCTGAAAAGAGTACATCCCATGTATCAGTAAGCAAAAGCTAAATCTTCACATAGTTCTCTGAAATCACAAGGGATCCAAACGCGTGCAAGGTTGTAAGTAAATTGTAGGGGAAAACTGGGTCTGGCCAGCTTCAATTTCCTTTTGAATGAACTCCACCAGAGAGAAAATAGGAGACAGGGCCATGGTTCCTTCAAATCACTGTTTCCCTCATTACGTTTTGTTTCCCTCCTGAAAAGTGGTGAGCGTAATCCTGTAAGGAAACAACAGAAATTATAAGAAGTCTTTTGATCTACATCATTTTATGATTTTTGAACCTAGAAAACATTTTTGCCTTAAGCCAGCCCTCATTACTTTATTACTCTGATCTGCCCAAAATACTGCAAACCCAAAACATATTTAGATGAGGTGCCCAAGCAAAACAGCAACCCTAAAACAGTGGTCCCTAAACTTCTTTTGTCACCTTACCTACCAATAGAACTGGCCATGCTCCAGTGAGAGCCACTATCAGGAGCTGGAGCTGGGAGCGAAGCCACTGCTAGCGTTGAGACCTGGGGTTGGGGCCAAAACTGGAGCTGAGCAAGGTTGGGTGGTGCTCCCAACCTTCCTCCCATAAAAGCTGGCCTGGGCCCTGCCATGTGCTCAATTCCCTCCCCACCGAATGTTTCTCTTCATCTCCCTAAGAGGGTGCGCCCTACAGTTTGGGGACCACTGCTCTAAAGCCACAATTTTCTAATTGGGTGCCTAAACGGAGGTACCTGCATCCTTGTTAAGAAATGTACATAAAAGTGGCCTAATCTTCAGAGAGGCCACGAGTACACACTCATCCTATTGCAATGTATATCCAGGTATACATGGCACCAGAAAGCTGTCTCTGCAGCAGATGCTCAAGCCCTAAGCAGGTAAAGAGGAACCTGCTGCTTATTGGTATAGCTTTTGGAGCTTATAAGCTATGTCTGCTCACTTCCTTTGCTGCTCCTTCTGCACTGCACCCAAAAGTTGCATTCATGACCATTTCCTTCTCCTAACCAAGGGCTGGCAGTTGAGGCTGGTCTACCTAATAAATAGAGACCATCAGACTTTGCCCAAAAAAAGAATTTTCTTATATGTAGACATAGTTAAGAGCTCGGTAAACTCTACCTGGTAATGGTAAATACCCAAGAACACAAGAGAGACTCAATTTTATTCTGAAGCTTTTCTAGCAATGTATGTTATAATCATTTCCCTAGTTTTCTCTTTGAATCATGCCAATGATTTCCATTTTATCAAACTCACTCCCAATTACTGTTTCAGAAAAGATAGCTTATGACTATTCTGCTATTTATTTGGGGCCAGCCAATAGATTGACGTTCGTAGAGCATGCATGATCTTAAAGTACTTAATCAGAAATCCCTTTGACTGTAAGAGATGCTCTAATTGAGTAAGAGCTGCAAGGACAGGATACACTAGAAGGAAATAAGTTTTGTCACTAGCGGTTTTAACCTTTAAAAATGTTCACATGCATTTCTGTATAAGCCCTTTGCTGAAGAAGATAGGGGTTTCTGTAATTAAAGACAGGGTTGAAATAAATATTAATTTTCAAACATGTTTTCCTAACTGATGAGATTTGAACTATGGGCACTTGTTACATTTCTAAGTGCAATTGGAGGATAGAGTCCGATATAGAAGAAAACAGCACCTAAAACAGCAGTTCAGTAAAAATGTTTACCAGATGTACAGCTGTGATGGTATGAGAATCTCATAAAACACAAAACAAAACAAACTGCAGATGCCACTTACTTCAGTTGATAAGGACCTCACTTCATCACCAAGAAAGAAACAAACTTGTTAAAAACTAATTAAAACTGCAGCTTCAAGCACAAGTCTGATTTTTCAAAAAATCAATTTAAGTAGCAGCTTAAACAATTTCCACCTTTTAGAACTTTTCTCTCTCTCCATCCATGCCAGGCTCATTACCACCATTCCTTAGTCTTCCTCTTCCTCCCCATTAAAAGTACAACACACCTGAGCTAGATCAACAAGGATGTATTATGAGTGCTGTGTGGCTGTGTCTTATGGACTACTGAAGTTTGTTCAACCATTTCTTGAGTCCTATGTGGGTTGTTTTCCAACTGCCTTTGTTGCTCATACCTTAGTTGGATGCCTACCAACACTTTACTCCCAGTATCCGCATGAAAATCCCCCTTTTTCCTTGGCCTCTGATTATTGTTGACAACTCAGGAACTCTTGTTTTAAAGAACATATTGACGTAGACCTCTCTAGTTAAACCTATATAAGATTAGCCAAAAACCCCACCCCACAGTATTTTGAAGGTGCAAATTTCCATGAATGCTCAGTGATGACATTTGGAAATATTCCCCAAATTCCAAGTTTTCCTAAAGTAGAGAGCACCACCATCCTCTAAGAAAGCAGGTAGCTTTACAGATCCCATTCAACATTCAGTGGGGAGAGATGGGCCTCTTGGGTCCTCGAGTTTATATTCTGCACCCTAAACTTTGGTCTGATTGATTCCTAGTGGGTGACAGCTGTGGTCCTGTGCTGCTTAAAAATGTCACTGCAGGCAGAGAGCAGCAGGCCAGGCTACAGAGGTAAGCACATAATGCTGAAGGCCCAAGTGTTGGTACAACAAGCAAAGTAGGCATCATCCAATACCAGTGACAAAATGACTGGGACACAAGACAAGACCCCTTTCCAGATGCAACTTTTCAAATGCTCAAGATCTGGGATAACCAAGTATGGTCCAGTGGCATTTTTCCACAGAAGTACAGGGAAGGAAGTTTCCACTAAGGGTACAAACTGCTCTTTGCCACAGTGAACCAGTATTTTTTCCCCAGTGACACTGAATCTTTCCAATTGCAAAGCACCTAAATTCACAGCGCACCAAAGCTTAGAGAAACCTGATTAGACACAGCCAGCTCTCTAATGAACAGCACAAATCTGTGAGATACCACATTCCTCCTGTGCCATGACAAACACCCACCTGTTCCCAGTGACATTAATGGGAGCTGAGGGTGCTCAGTATCTCAAACAGATGTCCAGCACGTCACAGAATATGGCCTGAACATCCTAACTTCCTCAGGCCTATACAAACAGCAGTTGCGGAGAAGACAAGAACCAGGGATCACCCAATGGCATAAATAAGTGGTAGGTTTAAAACAAACATAAGGAAGTACTTCTTCACACAATGCAGTGTCACCAGGTGGAACTTGTTGCCTGAGGATGTTTTCAGGGCCAAAAAAACAACTGAGTTCAAAAAAGAATTAGATAAGTTCTTGAATAATTGGTCCATCAATGGCTACTAGCCAAGATGGTCAGGGATGCAACCCCATACTCCGGGTGTCCCTAAGCCTGTGACTGCCAGAACTTGGGATTGGGAGACAGGGAACTGATCTCTTGCCAATGCCCTGTTAATTCCCTCTGAAGCATCTGGGATCACCCACCATTGACAAACAGGATAATGGGCTAGATGAACCATTGATCTGACCCAGAATGGCCATTCTTATGCTAGTACAAATGATTTATGATAATAAACAGCAGAAGCTGCCATTTAGATGCCAGGAAACACTGACAGCATCATTTTGGTTACAAGATGGAATAAGGATGGACGGTGGTGATTAACATGTGGAGTAGATGTTCAAAGTTCTCAACAGAGGCTCCTTTGTTTTTTCTGCTGCAGCACTGAACAACAAACCCCCCAACTGTAATAGTCTAGTTCTCCCATCCCTAGTGCTGAGTGCTTTTGAGACACCTTTCCTTCAGCATTCAGATTGGAATGCAGTTTCCTGTCATTTCAACAGTGTTACTAAAGAGTATTGTGATCCATGCTGCCCCCACCCTCCAAGCACCAAACGTCTACCATCCGAGGTTGGTCCTGAACACGGATTTTGCAGGCGATAGCCAAGCACAGTAAACAAGCTTCTAAGCAATTCTGCCTTTGCATATTAGAAAACATCTATTTTAGGAAAAAACCTCCCTAAAGTTTCCTATGTATTTCTCATCCAAATTGAAGTTTCGCTTGGTGATTTTGCAGATCATGTTTATGGCCCCTGGTCACAGCTTTACTTATAAAAGCATATGCTGTAAAATGGAATATTTACAACTTATGATTTCCCAAGAGCAAACAAGGGCTCTTTCAGATCTCCTTAAAATGTCTTCTCACATGTAAGACTGCCTTAAAAATGAACTTTTAGTTTTGCACGGCAGGATGAGGCAGTTTCGATATTCATAATGTCGCTATTAAAATAATAAAAGATTATAAGCAAGTCAATGATGCATCTGAAATATTTAATGATGCATATCAAGCAATTTAATTGTATGTAATTGTAACTGTAGGAAATTCTCTACTGCTTACACTCTGTTTCGTCTTCAATTTATTAATCCAACACAAAAATAAGCGATGGATAACTGTATACCATTGCAGCTGTTGATTAACAGTAACACTATTACTAGACACAAAAGCTTTGTATTTTAACTATTAATTCTAAATCTCAAGACATAGAAAGGGGAGGAGTGACTAAGAGGCCAACACTTCCTGAAGATTTTCTTTTTTTTTTAATTTATAAAAGGATAGTTCTTCCCCTTAAAATATTTGTCTCTGGTTCCCTTACAAGCTACTTTTGGCAGCCTCAGCATCCTTCTCAAGGTGCTGTTACTATGGGAGTAAATTGTAAAATTGGGTGGAGCTCCTTAACATGCAAAGCCCTCTCAGGGTGCAGTTCTATTTACACTGCAGACTGTTAGCACCACTTTAAACAGTTCATTCTTAAGAAATACAGTTGCAAACACAAATGCAACCAAATAATTGAGGGATACAGCATTTCCTGGAAGGTGAAATATACTGGCAATTTAAGACCATTAAAAATAGCCCCCTCTCCATGTTCATATACATATACCCAGCTACCATGCCGTAAAATTATATATTAACAGATAATGCATTTCTTTCATGCTTATCTTTTATTCATCTCTTAACCAATGAAGGCATTAAAGCAAATATATTATCGATAACATTTGTATGCTGGTATATCTACATACAGCTCTTTGCTATAAATGTTAATTAATTGGATCCCCAAATACCCATAATGCAACTTTATTTTGACCCACATGCCCTATGAACTAGATTTTTTTTTATTCAGTTTTCTTAAAACCAACTGTCAGCATCATGTGATGGAAGAGATGAAAAATGAAAATGAGCATTCCTGTGCAGGTGAGTGACCTGTGGGAGACAGCTCTGCCTGGTAGGATTTTTACACGTAC